AACCATTGACAATCAAACAGTATAAAGCGAGGCAGCAGAAGCCACGAGTAACTCCAGTACCGAAGACACCAATAAAACCAAAAAGAAAAAGGGGCGGAAAGCAGTACAATAAAAGAAAACAAATAGCAGTCCTTTATAGAGAATTGAATCTTGCCACATCTTCAGAAGACCAACTGTCAATAAAAAGAAAAATAAGAGAGACAAGGAATGGGCAGTCAACCCACCAAGGAAGAGGTGATAAACAACACCAACAACAACAACAATAACAACAGTAATAACAGCATCAACGAGTTAGCTGATTCTAAAACAATTTTGTATTTTATATGTATTTTATTGTTGTATTTAGTATTATCCAAAGTAAACAATCATTATAAAAAATATGTCAAAAGACATGTTATTTTAAGCAATAACATGGTTTAAATTTGCTTAATAAAAAAAAAAAAAATATATATATGTTTTTAAAAAAAAAATTTTTTTTTATAAATATGAATAACTTTAATTGTTTTGTTTGTGGTAAAAGTTACCAAACAAGTAGAAAATTAAGCAGACATTTAGATAGAAAACACATTAAATTAATTAATTATGTAAATCGATTAATTAAAAATCTTCAAGAATAAGTAATTTTATTTAATGTACACTAAAGCTAATATATGAATTTCAACCATAATAATTATAAGTCTAATTATATTGTATTTAATAATAAGACTAGAAGGTCATACAAATAAGAGAATGTACTTCAAAAATTTTTACTTTATGAACTATAAATAAATATATATATGGAATTCACTGAAGCTAAACATATATTAGAAAAACTTAAGAAAAACCCCAATAGGTTATATTCTAGGGAATTTATAGAAAAAACAAAGGAAGAATTAGAAAATATCTGGTTAAAATATTTACCTCTAATAAAAGAGTCTGACTTAGAAGCGTACAAACAAGCATTCAACAACTTGAAAAATAATATAGAAAAATATCTCAAACAAAAAGCAGACATGGCTAGTTTTGATATTTCAACAGCTTCGAAAATAATACCCCAATTCAGTGGTGAACAACAATCACTATCTACTTTTCTTGGCATGATAGAATTTTATCATGACACCCTTAAAGGAGTCGATAGAGAATCCTTGATTAAATTTGTTCTAGCAACCCGAATAACTGAGAAAGTTAAAAACAGAATTTTAACTGTTGTAAACCCATCTACACTTATAGCGTTGAAACAAATATTACATGACGCATATAAACCAAAGAAAAATACAGCACATATTCAAGGTGAACTTTCAAGATTATACCAAGGTAATATGAGCATAAACTCATATGCTTCTAAAATAGAATCCCTGATAGCAACTCTAAATGATATACAGATAACTGAACGAGGAGAACAGAACAGAGCGCTTATATTATCCATAAATGATGAAACTGGATTGAACACTTTTAAAAATGGCTTATCAGAACCATTTAGATCCGTGGTAATTGCAGCTCAACCAACAAAATTAATTGACGCAGTTAAATTAGCATCAAGCATCGATAATCCACAACAACACAGTATGATGCACTACCGTTCACATAATCAAAACACAAGATGGCAAAATAATCAACGGTCTAACCAGAATAGAAACAATTATAGAAGCAACCAGAACAGGAATCAAAGAAATGGAAATAATCAACAAACCAGTTCATTTAGAACTAGTCAACCCCAAAATAACAATCACCAACAATTTGGACAACAACGATCGAATAATTACCAGCGATCGAATAATTACCAACGATTTAATAACCACCAATGGTCAAATAATGGCAGACAATAGAATAATAGAGGAACAGACACAAGAAATAATAGGATACGTGTCATGAACAGGGAACAGGGAAACGGGTACAACCCCGGTACCAACAGAGAAACTATAGAATAGGCTACGCGGGGATAAAAAATGATAATGGAGAATCAATACCCAATTATATTATACTACAGACTTTAAATAAAAAATTAAAATTCTTGTTAGATACTGGCGCAGATGTGTCAATATGTAAAAAATATTGTACAAATGACGAAGACATTGCAGGGGAACAATTATGTAAACTCACGGTAATAACTGACAGTCCAATCACAACATTAGGTACTACAAATTTAAATTTCAAAATATTGAACGATTACTTAAAGCATAAATTTCAAGTAGTAGATGACGAATTTCCAATTCCTACTGATGGTATTTTAGGACGTAAGTTTTTCAATAAATGTTTTTCAAAAATTGATTACGAAACTTATACTTTTTCAATAAACACGAATAAAACCGAATACATTTTACCGATATTAAACAAAATCTTTAGAATCACAATACCACCTAGATCAGAGATAATTCATTCGATTAAAATAGAAATTCCAGAAGATAGTATTATTTGTAATAAAGAAATAATAAAAGATGTATTTATCGCAAATACAATAATTCCACAACATGGAATAAAACATATAAGAATCTTAAATATCTCTAATAAAGAAAAAAGTATTGAAAAATTTTCAAAATCGGATTTAGAAATAATACCTTTAAGACATTTCAATATAATCTCAAACAATAGACTCAAACATTCCAATGAACGTTGGAATAAACTCAAAAACTTACTTAAATTTGTAACGACACTTTTGGTGACGTTCAAAAATTTTTAGTTTTTGCTGGGGTATCCTCAGCCGTCGTCCAGAGTCGTGACAATATATTTATAATTTTGCCGAGACGTTGGTTTTAGAAGAAAACAGAACGTGATTTATATGTATAAATTATGTATATAACTTTATTATTTCATAAACTTATGATTAACAAAGTTTAATTAAAATTCATTGGAAACATTTCTAATAATAAATAAAAAAAAAATTATGTTGATGCCAAAATTTCCCACTTCTCCATATATTCCTTGTTAAAAGAATCTTAGCAAAACCCGTGTGACTTCTTAAGCCCCTCTTCTGTTGTTAAAAAAAATAAACAAAACGTTTCCTCCGTGCTGTAAAAAAAACTATTTGACCGAATAAGCCAGGTTAAAAAAATATACATATAAGACAGGAAAGGAATTTTACACTATGTTTGACTCAAAGAACCAGATTTGTGGCACAATGTGCCAGATGACCAATAGGCCAGTGTACTTGTTTCAGGAAAAGTAAAATTTCAAGTTTGGTAAAATTTACCAGAAGGCCCAATGAGCCAGAGTACTTGCTCTTTCACTTGTCGCAAACCAAGTCCCTCATTATACGAAATGTGCCTCCTTTTATATTGAGTATACCGAAGCTTTTTGGTGTAGCGTACCGGTATTCTTTGCTGTACTTGACTTCGCCGTGAAGTTGAACTTTGTGTTCTACTGTTTTCTCACTTCTTCTGCTTCGCCGTGATTTTTAGTACTTTTACTACGCGCCGTGTTTCTTTCGTGTGTGTTTTGTTTTCCTTTAACTTATATTATATTATTAAAAAAATAAAGTGTATTAATACTGCAAAACAAGGTATTAAATATGCATATATATTCTGTGAATTTAATATTATCTAAATGTGAACAGAAAAGAAATATTAAAAGAAATAAAATTGATGTTGGCGTGCTTAGTTTTGTTTTGTTGTGTTTTGTTTACGCATATAAAAATAAAATTGGACAACCAAAAATGTTAAACTGTTTTGTGGTTTTTTTTGTTTTTCGTTTACGCAGATAAACTAAAATTGAACAACCACGAGTGTTAAATTGTTTTGTGTTTTGTTTTATTTATATATAATTGTAAAAAATAGACATTTGTTTAAAATTTAAACATGTTTCGCCAATAATTGTTCATTGTTGTTGCGTTTATAAGTGTTCCATTCATAAAAGTTTTAACCAAAAATTAATTTCTTTTCGTATATTTTTTTAGAATTTGCACATTGCATGTAGCGATGCCCGCGGCACATTGGCATCGAGGATCACAGGTAATGTCCATGATATTTCAAATAAATATTTTAATTCAATTTTATATTTTCCAGTTAAGTCGCCTTCAGTGATTTTCATGTGAGTTGTTAGATATATTATGTGTAGTGGTGGCGGTTATTTAACACACAGACTGTGTTTTTCTCTGCTTCTTGTTTTATGTAGCACAGAAATTTACTTTGTAAATTTGTGTCGTTACATTTCCCTCCTTCTTCAGAACAGAAATTAAACTAAAACTTTATTTTAATGACACGTTGATGACCCCTCGTCGGCAAATTTGCACTTGATACTTCTGATTTTCCATTTATCCCTTATTTTCCATATGATACATGCTAATACTTGTGTTACTAATATTCCTTTTAGAACGAGGCTCGATTTCTCTTTCTAATCTTTGGACACTTGAAAATTTTGTAATACTCATCTTGGTTGCTGACATGATGATGGTCATCCTTTCGTTTAAATGTACCTAGACGTTGTACGAAAATCTCTGGTTTGTTTCCTTTTGTGCTTGGTTGACTGACGTTCAATTCCTCTTGTGGTGACCATGTTTCTTGTTGACTGTCATGCTTGACTTTATCCTTTGCTTGAGTTCCTTGGCTTGGTAGTTCCGTGTTAAGTTTACTATCTGAAACATTGATAACTAATGGACCTAATGAATTCGTAAGTTGTACATGACGATTATCCGATACTGGCTGTATTGTAGTAGAATTCCTCTGTAGCGATGTAGTTGATGACGAAGATGATGGTTGACCAGATTGGTGATTATCTCTTGGTGGTGCTTCTCGTGGTGACTGTGGCTGATTAACCGAAGATGGCGGCTGCGGCTCAAGTTCTTTTGGTTGTAACGATGATTTGAAATTACCTTGCGAATGACTCTGTGACGTTTGCGATGATGATTTAAAATTACCTTGTGAATGCCCCTGTGGCCCTGTGGCTTTTGCGATGATGATTTAAAATTACCTTGTGAATGCCCCTGTGGCTTTTGCGATGATGATTTAAAATTACCTTGTGAATGCCCCTGTGGCGTTTGCGATGATGATTTAAAATTACCTTGTGAATGCCCCTGTGGCTTTTGCGATGATGATTCTGAACTTGTAGAAGTTGGTAGTACTGGATGATTGACATGTGATGACTCCGGTACTATCATTAAACGTTGTGGCAGTGCTGGACGTGATGATAAGTCATGCTCTTCGATTTGATGCTTTTGCTCTCGTGGTTGCGTATTCTGATTGTAGTTAACTAGCGACTGTTGTGCATATGCTTGTTGATAACATACTTCTGGACTTTCCCTATGAGACGTTGAAATCTGTGGAGGAGTTACGATGCATTTATGAATTGCCTCCTTTTGTGGTTTTCCCTGTAGTGGTACTGAGTGTGGTTGTGCGTCTAGCACCTGTGGACTTTCTTCGACGGGTTGTGGTTCTTTTCGCGTTACATCCTGTGCCTTTAATCCAATCAATGATGAAATCAGTGGGTTTTCTTTAAACTGTTGTGTTTGTGCTTCTCGCACCTGGGGATTTACTTCGACGGGCATAATGGTGTGTAACTCCTGTTGTGGTTGGACTTTCGGACTTTCTTTGATGAGTTTCGAACAATGTAGATGTTGTGGTTCCTGCATATTTACTTGCGATGTTACTGAGAGTTGAGCTAGATTACTTTGACGTTGCATGCTTGGTATCATGGTTGACTTGGATAATAATGGTGTCGTTGCCGTTTTAATGGTGTTTATTCGTATTGTTGTTTGCTTAACTTTGAAACTACTCTGTTGTTGGTAACTTTTCTTGTTTTGTGGTCCATGTGGCCCCAGATTCACACTGTAATCAACGTGCTGCCCTGTTCTTGTAGTTGGCATACATTTCGTGGTATTTGGTAATGACGTCGCTTCTGAGTGTTTACTTATCAGGCGATGACTGATCGCTTCCTGTACCTGACTTCGACTTGTTTTAACTCGCTCTGTACGAAGTTCTGCTAATCTTTCGTAATAATCATATGGAAGGAAAAATTCTAAAAAGTCTGCCTTGAAGCTTGACCAAAGGGTCCAACGTTCATTGTTGTTACGGTACCACATCGCTGCCCAATCTTTAAGGAGTATGGTCATCATCCTTGGGACTATATTTAAGTCGATGTCATAGATTTCTGATAGCTCTTCTATTCTTTCCACGAAGCCTAATGGATTTCCTTTGCCGTCATAACGTACTGACCAGTCAGCTATTTGGTCAAGGCTTTCAATATACGAAGGCATTGTATATTAATTCCTCTCGTGACTTTGATCAAGACCTTCTCTTGTGATGATGCACTGCTCTGTTTGTCGAACGAACTCTTTCACTGTTCCTGTTTTAAAGATTCGCAATTCTAAGCCGTGGCTTCCGATTTCCCTGTACCTGTGTTCTAATGACTTTCCTCGTTAACCGTTTGTCCACTGTTCTCCATGTTCCTATCGTGTTCTTTTTTTTAAAACAACGTCCCTGTTCAACGTTCGTTCTTTTCTAAAACCAGGTCCCTGCTCGGGCGCCAATTGTAACGACACTTTTGGGTGACGTTCAAAAATTTTTAGTTTTTGCTGGGGTATCCTCAGCCGTCGTCCAGAGTCGTGACAATATATTTATAATTTTGCCGAGACGTTGGTTTTAGAAGAAAACAGAACGTGATTTATATGTATAAATTATATATATAACTTTATTATTTCATAAACTTATGATTAACAAAGTTTAATTAAAATTCATTGGAAA